ACACACACACACGCACACACACACACTCACAAACACGCACACACAAACAAACAAACAAAAGCCACAAAACACAAACAAATAACCCACGAAAAAACAAACACTCAAACAAGCAAAACACAACAAAAACTTCAACAAAAATAGAATATCCCTTTAAAATATATTTAAAAGAAAGTACCCCCAAAAAATGGATTCCCTTAAATTTCTCTTTCCATCCTGAAAAGGGACAGAAATAACTTTCAATTTATGAGAAAAACGCGTGCATGCCCACGCCTCCTTTTTGTTTTGCGTTGCTGCTGTCAAACAGCTCCAATTTATAAATGAAAAAAACAAACTCTTTCGGTTTTTTACACATTACAAGTATTTATCATGATTTGGTGAAAAAAAAGTGGTTTGATTACAAATACAAGTCGTCAAATACAGGTGCGCTACGTCCGAAGTAGGTCTATCATTGACTCAAGGGCTTACCTTTTCACCTTGCTTTGTTCCATTGGTCAAGTGTGTTTTTAGCGCGTACAGTATCTCCTCTTGCATCGAACAAATTATTAAATCATTTTCTGGATAGTGTGATATACTTTTGTAATTACCTTGTTTTCATAAAGATTCTATAAACAAATTTACATCTTGAGAGTCGCAAAGCCGTTGTTTCCATTTAAACGTAACTGTACAGCTTTTGAGGGTTATCAATTTGCGTCTTGCGGAGGGAGGAGCTCGCAAGATAGAATGCTGCGGATAATATGCTTTGCCTGCGCTGCGACACACCGCTACAGGAAGCCGGTGCGAGGTCATGCAGGTAAAGTTTGGGTAGACCTGCTAGGGTAAACAGTGAGAATGTTGGCTGCAGTGCACCGGTCAGAGTGTGTACTTTGTCTTATCATCTTGCACACATTGGATAGGGATGACCTACTTTCAGTTTCTGTATCGGCATAGCATCTGGACCCGCTAGATTATCGATTGACGGAAGCAAGCCGCCCGTGCTCGCCGTCTCGGCAGCGGATCGAAGAAATTCCCACGGATTTTTACTCTTTTCGGCACACGGAAGTGAATGCTGTGGCAGCTTGGGGGTCTGTGGTCTGGAGCTCGAACGAAGAACCACCATCGGAATGGAGTAGTTTCAACAGAGTGCCTGGATACTGCAATGTGCAATTCTCATCATAATGTTACTTGGATTACAAAGCTTTCTCTCTGGATTGTAGTGAAGAGATAGTGGAGTACTGGGGCATATTTTCTACCCCACTCGCGTTTCTGCATCTCGTATCTGTGCACTGTGGCTGTGGAGATCAAAGGGAACCAAAATGGCGTTCGCTCGTCGGATAATAATGGATCTTGTTTTGATTGTCCTGTGTCTGTCTGTTGTCAGTGCACAATGGCAGTATTCGCTTCCTGAAGAATCTCAGTATGATTTATCCGAAAAAGCCTTTGTCCAAAAATATCGTCGTCAAGCAGAGACGACAGCGTATGATGAAATAATTACACAGCCTTCCCCAATCCCCGAAGATGCAGGCAGCGACACTGTCTTGTTTGATTTCAACACAGTAACCATCAGCAGTGAGGCAGCATCCACCTTTACTTTCCAAGTTATAGAGACAACGGACAGCGTTCCTCAGTATGAGGGCCTGTTTGTTATTGAGAAGAGACAGGTCCGTTTTGGACATGCACTCTCAGACACAGAGAGACGGAATTACTTTGATTATGAGCAGTATCCCACAGTTGTCATCATTATTGTAGCAACACAGGAGCTTGGATTTCATGGTTTGTATAATTTGTAGCCAATTTCTCAGAACGTTCGGGCAAATAAAGTTGAACTCTAGATCTAGATCTAGATTCTATATTATCTCTAGATCTAGATTAGAAATATTTCTCCGAACGGTTTCTGATCTCGAGATTGTTTGGTTAAATTTGCGAGATTTAGGAGGCGTCATCCTTTCATAATTTCATTCTGCCATTCTGCGAGGACTGGGAAGGAAGCATTTTTTGCATCGAACTGAATTTAAAAAAATTTTAGAGCTAGATCTAGAGATTTTTAAATGTCTGAATATTCAGATACTTCAGTTGTCGTTGAAGCAACATTCCCGGACTATACTATACTTCATTTGAAAATATAGGCCTACCTTCAAAAGGTACTGTGAGAAAACAAGACTGCTCGACCTTGGCAGTAACCTACTTTGCATTTAGTCACCCAGCAAAAACTAAAATCCTTCTTGTAAAAAAAACGGACAATCCCTCCACGTTCACACCTTACACACACACTGACACACACATACACACACACATGCACACTTACACACACACACACACACACACACACACACACACACACACACACACACACACACACACGAGCCACTCCATTCGCCTACTTATTATCAACAAATCTCGAGAACGGAAACCGTTCGGAGAAATAAAATTCAAGTTTATTTTCCCGAATGTTCGGAGAAATAGAGCCGTCCTTGAAATATAGATAGAATAATTCTATTAGTTCAGTAGAGTAGAGGGTTAGGGTTGGGTTAGGAAGTGAGCATTCCCACCCCTGAATAATTTTTTTGGTTATATAAATTTCCACCCGCGTCGGGTCACTTCTCATCTTTCCTCTCTAGATTTAGAATCTAGATCTAGATTCTAGTTATAAGATCTTAGGCTACAGGCTGAAGGACTAAATCACTACCTCTAAACCTGGGGTGAGAATTAGACGTACACTGGCAGCTAAAAGTAGATTTAAAAAATCTAGTACGCCTCTCTACAATTTTATACTGGGTCTTGCAATATTGAATACATTCAGACGAGAGTGCTAATGGTAAGGGGAAAAATGTCAATTTTAATTTTTGAGATCCTCATGCTTTCTGCCATACCCAATCAATCTCATTGAAAGCAAAGAAAAAGGCCAAAAAATATGAATGGTGGGAGTAAATTACTAAATTATGCTTACAAGAACACACACCTTAGCCTTAGACGCCAGTAAAAAAATGGAGTAAAATATTTCAAAATCCCCTCAGGAGGGTGGGAACAATTTAATATAGAAAATCTTATTCCCACCCGGGATGGGAGTAATGGGAGCCTTTGGGTTAGGGGTACGGGGTCTGAGGTAGGTTTGGCCAGGGTTAGGGTTCGGTTTCGGTTTTTTCTGTTGCGTTTGTTGGGGTGGTAGTTTGTAACGGAAGTTCTTCCATTTTAGTTTTTGTAGTTTAAAAATTAGTTGCTGGTGGGGGGGGGGGGGTGTCCCGTAACGGGCAATGCCGTCAAACAAAAAATTCTTCTTTAAAACTTCATTCTGGTCTTTACAAGGTTCTGTACACCGAAAAAAAGAAAGCACTAGTCTCCTCTCTGCTATTTTTTTCCCCTGCTGTTTGACTTCTACATGATAGATCAATTAGTAGTGTGTAATAATTTAATTTTATTATAAAAAAGATTATAAATAAATAGCAGAGAAAGTCCGTCCTAGACCATAGTCCACTGATTAAAATTTTTTATTAAAGCGTCAAAACATTTTCAACAGAGAAAAAGTGGATCAAGCTCTCCATTCCCCTGGTGGATGTCAACGATGAGTCTCCAGTCCTCAAGAACAAGCCATACCCATACCAGGCAGCCATCCCTCTTGAACCGGAGCCAGGCCACACAGTTTACGAACTGCTGGCAGAAGATCCCGACACAAATTCGGAACTGGAGTACCGTATTGCTGATGAAGCAGGTGCTTTGACACCTTTTTGCTTTTCATCCTTTTGTTTGTTTATCTAATTTTTTAATCTGAAATAGTATTTTTTGACAGAGACTCTCTTGTTTCTTGAGGTGTTCAGTTAAAATTACAAAGTTCACGCTTGATTTTGTGACTTTTGAAAGAGTAATTTACAATCACATAATAATGTTAGCGGATGTTTGGTGGTCATCACAAGGTGTGTCTCTTTTTCTGATTGTTTACAAAAAAAAAGTTTGCTTTTGCGTCAGTTATCCCCGTTTTTAGTTTGTTAAATATTTCATTTTCCTATTTAGTCCTGTTGTTTTTGGAAAACTTTTTCAGTGTCTGACTGAATAGAGTCCCCTGTCATTCTGTGTAATCGAGGTTAAAAATCTTTTGAAGTGTACTCTGATGTTCTGTGTTTGTGACTCACTGGTAATCTAGTACAGTCAAACCTGCCTTAACGGAAACCTGTATAAAACGGAAACCTCTCTTAACGGAATCTCCCCGTTCCCCCCATGATATATTCCTCTTTAGTTACCTGTGTATAAAACGGATGCCTGTCCAGAAACGGAAAGAAAAATCCACTCCCTTCCAAGGGTTTCACAATGCTGTCTAAGATGAAAATATATGCTTTGCCCGCTCAGTCCTGATTTGAAACAAAACTCACAAGTTTGGTTGCGCCGTCTCTACACTTAACGTCATGCTGCCGGGGAGTAGGGGTGCAATTTGGGGGTAGATGTAACCCCATCATATGAGCCTTGAGCGATGTAGAAGGTCAGGATAGTGTTGGTGTGAAATCTCACGTCTGCCCGTGAAAATGCTTGAGTAGCGAGCCACTACGGAAAGTTTCCTGAGTAGCCAGAACTCAGAGGTGTGAAATTAGATACCAATGCCTGCTGCCCTCATTGTACAGTCAGCCGAGAAAGGAATTCCTCAAATCTTTGTTACATGATGGCAATGAAGGGTGGCATTGGTTGACTGTGCTTGTTGCTCTTCTGAGACAACATTTTTTCTAGCTCCCTTGCGATTTTGTCTCACACAGGTTCGACTGTATAAAATTTATAATTAAATTTGATCTTATTGTTAACATTGCTTTAATTTTAATCCGTGTTGGCATCCCCAACTGGGCGTTCTGGCTGGCAGGTTGTTTCTTTTTCCAGGTTTTTTAACCCTTCTTATTCTGTCAGCCCAGTCAAAGATGGGGGTCAGAGATCTTGTCCCATCTCTTGTAACCTCACAGTATCTTATATGGGTGTTTATCCCAACATACCTGTACTTTGTACTTTTTCTTCAGTTGCATTCACTGAATATTGAGGCTGAGGTTAGGAATTATACTATTTAAAGCTAGGAGCTTTAATGCTTAAACATTTTTGTAGGTTGACATGTCACCTCCCTAATATTTTCTTTTTCTGATGTATTTAAACTCTTCATCTACAGCCCTGAAAAATTTGAGGTTTATATTACTTCATGTCATCAGTTGGCATTTGTGGTTTGGCTGAAAGTGAAAGTCTCTTAGTGGATAGCTGCAAGAAAAAAAATGGACTTTGAATTACATATGCAGTTATCCCTTATATTCTTACTAAACTTATTATGAATGTATATTCTCATCTTGCCTTTACTTTGTAGTGTGCTGTAACCTTATGACGTTTTCTCTCCTCAGATCCTGATGTGAAGGCCTTCTTCAGGATGGAGCAGGTGGTGGAGAAGGATGGGACACCTGACAAGATCGTCGAAGGACACATCAAAGTGTCTCTGAGAACAGCTTTCACCGAAGGCAGAGAATTTAACATTCCAGTCAGTTTCCTTCACAAATTGTTTTGTGATTTATGCCTGTTTTGACGAAAGCTTTTGTGCATTACAAATATTTTGATTCTAAGCTTTTGGCAAATGTCATAAAAAAATAAAATTAGATTGGGCACTTTTTCTCAGTGTAAGAAAGCCCTTTGTTGTAAGTACTTTTTTGGGAGAGTGGTTTTCTGCTTGGATGTTGTAGTTTGCGGTGGGTTGAAGTCTGAACAAAAGGTCAAATCCCCTCAAGCAGTGGAGTGATATAATGTGAGGCATCGTGGTGCAATCAGGCGCTCGTCAAAATAATGAAATCAGAGATATATATAACTGCATTTTCCCGCCAGTTTGAAATTTTTTTGTCTTAATTTTTGTTTTTTTGGCTCAACATCTTTTATATATATGTTTATTAAAAAATATATTTCTGTCTGGATTTTACTGAAAAACAACAATTAAACGCTCGACAAATATGAATTTACAGTTTCCAAGGATTCTCAAGCTTTGGAAATCAACAAACTCTGCAGCCATTTTCTCGTTAATTTAACCTCTTAAACCAGGCGTCCCCGACCTCTTTCGCATATTTCTCAATTTCCATTTTTAAGATAGATGTGTATTATTTTCATAGAAACATAGAGTCAAATGAACAAGCTTTAAGATATGCCAATAACTCCAGATGCGCAAAAATTGATAAGCGTCTGATTCAGTCATGTATGGTTGCTTTTAAGGACAAGCGGGCTAACCCAGATTTTGGGGGTTTCCAGAATTCTTGACCTACACAAAAAGTGGGCGTTGCCCTACCCATAGGAAAAGTTTGGTTTCATTGGTGTGTATATTTGTTTGGCTATAGAGAAAAGCCTCCTTGTATTTTTAAAAAAACTGAACAAGGGGCAAAAACTTTACCTTCGATTTTCTCAAAATATATACGTGACTACGTGACTGTGTACTTCTGAGTCTGCCTTCACTTCTCCTGTCTTCTTTCTTCTTTCATCCTTTGTTACTTCTCTAAACACATTTCTCCAAAGTCCGAAAATTACCTATTTGTATCTAGTAAGGCATTATGATGCCCTACCTATCAACCTAGAAATCTGGGAATAGTCTTTTTTATCCTAAAGTTCTGTGAATAATATTTGTTTTTCCTGTGTACCCAGAATTCTGATCTCTTTATCACTATGTTCCTCTTTTAAATCTAATTTGTACTGTAAGTCATATCCTTGTTTGTTGTTTAAGATTCTCTTTCCCTATTTTGGTTGTGGGTGTCACTGTGTCCATATTGCCTTAAATTCTTCTTTGTTTGTTCTGAAGTTGATAGAGGTGAAATCTTTGCCTTCAAATTCTCTATCTTCCTCTTTTTGTCTTTCGTTTTGATATTTTAAATTTGAACGGAACTTTCTATTCTGTTTTCGTGTCTCACGTCTCATTTTCTCTCTTTATTTCATAGGGGGGTACGGTCCTTTGGTTTTATAAGTGCTGAACTATAAGGTCAGACAATTCTTTTAGAGCGCTTGCATTAAACTTGAGAAGTGTGCCAAAGCCAGGAGTAAGGCAAACGTTGGATTTGACAAGGTGTTAAAAGTTCCTGTCCTTTTGTATCATCCTGCCTTCGTTTACATTACATGTTGTATTGTACTGGACTACAACCTCTGTCCTTGACATCCCAACGAAGAAGATTTTCCAAGGCCATATATATTTCAAATTTTTAAGCCAATTTACTAATTTTCTATTTGTTGATTACTAAAACATGTTCTGGTGGGCGGGCAGCCCTCCATATTTGTCATAATTGGTGAGAGAAATGGTCAGGGTCAACATATAGTGTGGATGGTTGATGGGTGCTCTAGTGTGATTTGCTCCTGCTTTCCTATCAAATTCTATCATGTAGTCTTTTTCTTTCCTACTTGTATTTTAATTTTTTTTTTTACTCTCTTGTATCTTGTAACACCTAATCTTTGGCACATGTGACCTAATTGTATCGTAAGTGTAAGTACCAATAAATAAAACTCTCTTACAAAACAAAAAAACAACATTTAATTACATTATGTTTCTTAAGTGCTGAAAGTGCCTCTACAAGCTGAAGAATGATATAATCAATAATAGTTCGCATATAAAATAAAAATGTAGGGTCAGTTTGCTGTTTTTGCCTGTTTAACCAGCATAAAAGCCTGTGAGATGAAAAAAGGATTTAAATATCGTTTGATCTGCTGAGAATGTTCCTCTGTCTGTTAAAATCAGGTGCTACATGCCTACATTTACATGCCTTTGTTCAACGATCCATTCTGACCGGACTCTCTCTCTCTCTTGCCCTTTTTAACTCCCAGTGGAGCACAGGCCATCAACAACATTACTCCAGCGAAGCCTGTCCTGAGCATCCTTTTCTATCTGTTTCCATGATGTCCCCGCTTTTTCAATTTCCGCATTCTGACCTGACACTCAATCAATATAATGATGACTCCTTCACTGTTGTGTTGTAACCCATTTGTGCCTGACTGTCGTGCAGGGTAATGTACTTCATGATATAATTTGGTACAACCTTGCTATTTCGGAAACATTTTCTCTGTAAAAAAACTTTTGTCTTAGAACCCTTATACAGGATTGCGGCTTGATGTAAATTGCCTTTTCTGCCTTTTGTACAGTTTTTGGCCTCGTCTTGTTTTGTGTCCTGGTGACGGGTAGCTGTTTCTGTTCTGACTTGTAAATTTTAGCTCTCTTGCTCTACTCACTTTGTTACTACAAGGGACCAATGTTTATAATAAGAGCCCTGTCTGTAGTTACAAATAATCATATCAGTTACCCATGTGAGTCTTTTCTAATATGTTCTGATTTTGCTGTTCACTTCAGGTGACAATCCGTGACAAGCAAGCGGTTGGTCAGGTCACCACAGCCACCATCAATGTTCTAGTTGGACCCAGACCACCTCAGTTCTTTCAAGAAAAATATGAGGGATGGATTTTTGAGACTGAGAGCACCAACAACCAGTAAGTAAAGGAAAAAGCTTTTTTTATTAAAAAAATTATTTTTTTGCGGGGGGTGGGGGCACGTTGAAAAGAAAAGGCAACATCATTGATCCCTGAAGGGACAGTTTTAAAAAGTGTTGATCATGATGTGAGTTCAATAACACTTAATGTAATGAATAGTTTTTTAAAAGTATTGCCATTGTCTGTGTCTGCATTTGTTATCTGAGTTTTTGATCGAGTGATTGGAGAGCTCTGCTAGTTTTTGTGTTTTCTACTTCTTTCTTACATAAAGTCTGTTGTTCTTGTCTTCCTCTCTTGCTTTTTCCCTTTGTTGTTCTTGTCTTCCTCTCTTGCTTTTTCCCTTTGTTGTTCTTGTCTTCCTCTCTTGCTTTTTCCCTTCTCCAAATGACTCACAAGTCGGTGTTCATGCATTTCTATCTGATAAAAGTCAGATTTAACTATCTTTTTGATTTTTAATTGCCCTTTTTAAAGTGCGGATGGTTTGGCGTTCTTGGTGTATGCTTCTCTTGTTGTTGTTGTTTTTTGTTTTTTTGTAGATGAAATTCCTTTTCCCAATACTGAATCACTATTAGAGTGTCTCTGCACTTTGAATGAAAGCCTGAACAATGTGATTCTTTCCCCAGAGTGTACACCATGCCCGACCTAAACGGTGAATTGATCATCCAAGTCCGCCAGTTCCAGGATGGTTATCCGATGACATTCCGAGTTCTAGATGAAAACAACAGAGAATCTACACAGTTCCGTATTGATGGAAACGGCCGCATTTACAATAAAGCTGTGAGTGGGTGGACTGTGTTCTAATAGTGCAGTTGGTTTTATTTTTAACACTTTATTGACAAGTTTTCCTGGAGCTGGCTCTCCTACCCGGACTGTGGCTTGTTTATGCTGTACATATTTTTGAGGAAAAGTCGGGCCCATCACAAAGGCAGGAATAAGAATAGTTGTAGCAGAAATAAGAATCTGACTCTCAATTAAATTCAGAAGTCTGTAAATTCTTTGGTTGAAAAAAATGTTGGGAAAGCAGGAGTAGGTTTTATGTGAGGTTGGACAAATTTAGAAACATTGCACAAGCCCCAAGGTCTTTAGCCTGTAGGTGTGATTAGACCAACCAGCCAGAACAAAAAGTGAACATTCTGTTTTGTGAAGTCTGTAATAAAAGTTAAATTTTTGGTACTTGCTGAAATGAATCTTTGTGATGTTGACTGTTCGGGCAGTTGTAGAACTTGTCTCTATAATCCTTCTTGATTTGTGTTTGTGCTTTTGTCATTTGTGAGGCAGCGTTGTGGAATCAGGCTCTCGTCAAAATAATAAAATCGAAGAAAACAGCAGTTTTCTCCATGCTGAGCAATTTTTATCAATTTTTTTTGTTGGGCTCAAGACCTTTTATGTCCATTTACAAACACATTCCTTTGAGGATTTCACCGAAAACGTTGATTAAAGGCACAAAAATATAAATTAACAGTTTCCATGTACTCTTCAGCATTGGAATTTACCAAGCTTTGGCGGACATTTTCTCACTAATTTTACCTCTTTAACCAGATGACTCCCACCTCCTTCAATCCAAAATATCTCCACTTCTATAGAAGATGGATAGGTAATTTTTTCATTGAAAGCAAGACAAATGAACAAGCTTTAAGATGACACCAATGACTCAATATGCCCAAAAATTGACGAGAGCCTGATTCCACCACGCTGCCTCACATTTGTTAATGCTGCAAATTGATCATACAGTCTCGTGATAGCTAGGAGAATTCAAGCTTAGGTAATTTATTACTATTTAGCTGACTTTGGTGCTCATTAAAAATTCTCTATTCAGACAAAATGTTTGGATTGGTGGCATAGTTTTTCAACTGTATGGTTGGTTTGAGGGTGCTATTTTTAGTTTCTTTTCTATTCTTCTTTTTTGTTTTTTGTTATTCTTTTGTGTCTCATCTCTAATTATTGGATATCCTACACTTATTTTGATGTCCTTCTCTTTCTCTCAAGCAAACAAAAATATTGTGGCCTAATGAGTGGACTAATGCTCCTCTTTTTGCTTACTGTTCACTTTTTTTAGGCTTTGGACTTCGATGTGCCGAGAACTCTCCGTCCCCCAAAGTCACGGCTGATCATAAAAGTTACAGAAACATCAGATTTTAAAAATCTGGAAAATACAGTTCCTGTGAGTATCATAGTTTAATGCATCTATACTGTCATTAGGGATTATATTGTGTGAATGCCTGTGGGTGTATTTAGTTAGGGGCGGAATGTGTATCGAATGAAAAACTGACGTTTTGCAGAGTGAGGTTGCGGACTGGTGTGGTCTTCTTCCTTTCTTTTTGATGCTTGTTTCTTAGACTTTTTGTCCTTAAAGTAGAGAATGTGGTTGTTGTTGTAAAACTACATTTTATGGACAAAGAGACAGGAGCTCTTATATCGCATGAGTTTGGTTTTGATGGGTTTAGCTGGAGCAACAACATTGATTTTGAAGTGGCCTCTAGTTTTCTCATTTTATAAATAGCATTTTGTTCTTCTGCATCTTTTACAATAATTTTATTTAATTGTTTGTTCTATGTCTGCATACTTTTTTCCAGTTTTTGTTCTTGAAAAAGATGTTCACTTTTTCTTTTCCCCTCCCCCTTAACCTGTGTGATCAGTTGGAGATCACCATCAAGGATGAAAACGACAATGCCCCAAGATTCCACTTGACTCAGTACATGGAGACGGTGCGGGAAGACCTCAATGTGGGAGATACCGTCATGAGAAGTGAGTTTTCACTCTGAGGTTCTACTTTGGTCTTGGGTCCCTCGGACCAAGACGCTACTTTTCTAGAGAGATTTATTTTCTCAGAATACATAAAGTGCAGACAAGGCCTTCTGCTTAGTTTCCACTTTCTGTTGAACCATGACTGATTAAAAGTTCATGAAATCTATGTAAGGACCTGGTGGTTTCTCTATATGCAAGCCTCAGAATTCTGATGGTTGGTGAGAACAGAGCTAAGAAGAATGTCAAGTTGTGTCTGAAATGGCATTTAAATGGAAGGTGACCCTATTTTGGTTCTTGAACAAACAATTGTTATCTATAGCTCAGAAACAGCATTATATGCAGCAAGCAACCTGGAGTGAAGTGCTACTTTTCAATTTCTATAAAGATAATAACATTATTTTCACGATTGTGTGGGTCTTTGTAAAGCTAGTCACAATGCTCTCGTTATTGTTATCAATCCAGCAATATAACAGATCCGTTTCTGTTCAAAGCCATAAAGTGATATATATGTGCAACTTCTCTTTAATGTCTGTGTTGTTCAATCATTCATTGTGTTATTGGTCTCTGGTATTGGAGGGAGGAAAAAAGCTTTGCCATTGAGCAGATAGTGGTCAGTCTTTTTCATGTGGTCACACAACATAGGTGTCTGATGGGTGCTCTGCTGTGGTTTGCTCCTTTTTTCCTATCAAACATCTTTTGTCCTTATCTCTCCTCCTTCTTTTGTGTTTGTTGATCTCTTGTATTACCTATAATATTCGCCATGTATGACCCAATTGTGTTGCAAGTGCCGTAAAATGCTTACTAAAATAAACAAAGGTCACACAACAGGCTTGTTAAGTGAACCTGTAGTTGAATTCTTTTGAGATGGCAATTGTTTTAGACTTGGATATTTTGTATCTTTAAGCAAACAATTGTCGCCTTTCTATTCTTGGTAATAGAATTATTTACATTATTTATATATAAATATATATCAACTGTGCATATCAATATGTCCTGAAATTTTACTGCTCCCCAGTTTTTGCTGATGATCATGACTCAGATGACAATGCTTTTGTCACGTATGAAGTGGACAGCCCTTACTTTGACATAAAGAAAGTCGGTAATGAGGGAGTGATCACCGTCAAGCAGTAAGTGTCCCTCATTTTTTTCACATCTTTCTATCGAAACAAAAGGAGCAGTGTTCTGGGGAATGGTTTTCTTGGTAGTCTCCTACTGTTTTTTCTATGTCTCTGTCATTTCAGTCTGTGTGACTTGATTTTCTTTTTTCCCTACACTAAATGATCAGTATTGTGTTCATTATGTTTTCTGCAACTTACAAGTTCAAGTACATTGAGGACATTTTGTATTTTATGTCATTTTTCTCAATTTAGGATTTATGTTGTGTCTATCAAGGATCAATTGGTTTGTAGTATGTGCTTGTGGTATGCTGCCTTTTCCGAGGTCTCTGTGATAATTACAGATAAAGGGGCATAGATTCCCTAGGGCAAGAGCCTATATAAATGTTCTAGTGTATTTTTATCGGTAGATTATTGTGGTCATCATAGTAGTTTTATCTGGTTTAAATACCATTCTGAGATATCCTTCTATTCTATGCTCGGTCTAGTTGTAACAACTATGCATGAGGTAACAGTTGAGGTTTTCAAATAAAGCCTTGGCTTTTCCATTTGAATATATTTTGTAAAGATTATACAGTTACCTTTAATCAATGAGAACAATTACGTAGCTTTTTACGATGTCACATGGGAATCATATCTGTAAAGAAGTACATGCGGAAAATATCTGTTCTGATGACCTATGCATTTGCCCATGTCCACAGACGATTAGACTTCGATGCAGAGCCAGGCCCGAGGTATCGCTTTGTGGTGTATGCCAAAGACAACGGGGTGCCAGCACTGTCTAGCTCGGTGGATGTGGCCATCACCACAGAGAATGTCAACGATGAGGTGCCCACCATCATCTCGCCCGGCGTTCTGGTGCTGAGAGACGAGGTCAGAGGGGGAGGCTTCACTCTCACGAGACTGCGTGCCAGAGACGCCGATGGAGACAATGTTCGCTTCTACTTCAGTCGTAAGTGGAGAGCTGATTGTCTAAAATGCTGAAATTTGTATAATTGTTTACTGTACACCAGTATATATTTTTGCGCGCTTTTTTTTTGCATTTTGTGTTTTGCCCATTTTGTGTTTTGAATTTGGGATTTGACTAGCCCGGTATTATGTGTTCCAATGTAGTAGTGCCTGTTAAAGCTTCTCTTTACCTGAAACTGAACTGTTTCCAGCTCTCTTTACTTTCCCCTCGGTTTTTTCTGTCTGTCTGTCTAAGTTTCTGTCTGCACCAATCCCCAAGTTGATGCTGAGATTTTCCTTATTTCTACTCTAAACTTTTTCCAGCTCGCTCGGAGAGGTATGAGATCTTCAGCATCAAGCCGTCATCCGGAATCATCCAGGTAGTGGCTCCTGTCCCCGAGGACCGCGACTCCTACATCCTGAATATCACGGCAGAAGACGATGGCTCGTGCTGCGGCAGCATCAAGACACTGCAGAGCGAGGCCTCCGTCACTGTGGAGATCGTCGACTCGGTCAACCAGAAGCCTGTGTTCACAAACTGCCTCAACTACTCCAATGTCGCGGGATTTGATGAAGATATTGAACCTGGGGAGCCTGTCATTCAAGTAAGCATTAGTTTATTTATTTCTCCCAGTGTTGTTTTTTGGGATACGTATTCTCAATTCTCGGGTTTTAGTTCTGAGAAGGAAAAGCCCGGAAATGTTTTGACTTTTTAATAATTATTGTTACAATTATGTCAAATTCCTATTCTACTCACCTTGCAAAAGTGATTTAAAAAAAAAAGAAAAAAGAAAAGGGTTCTTGCAGTTTCAAATTTACTGACCTCCACCCCTCAGAATGTTTAACTTTTTGATAATGATATTTAGACCTCCCCATTTTTACCATGAGATTGTATGTTTTGTGTGAGTAGCATGGTCATCTGTGTGGTTCTGTTCTGTTGTTTCAGACAGCTCTTCTTTTTATACCTCTGTGGTGTAGAAATAAAAGATTAAATGTTCACAGGTGGTACTGTGATTTTGTTCTATATGCCATCGGAGGATGAAAACTTAAATTTTTACAGTTTGCTTCCTACTTTTATGTAATAATTGTTCCTAGTGATGCTTTTTTCTGTATTTACAGATTGGATGTCTTCTTGTAAAGGATCTGTACTTGAAATAATTTATGAAATAGAAAACAAAAAATTTCTCTCTGCCGTTAATGATCCCTGCCATGTATTTTCTTCTGAGATTTTGCCAAATGACAATTTTATCATAATTACAGGTGAGTGCGTCTGACCCGGACCGAGGCTTGAACGGCATCGTGACCTATTCCATTGAGTCTCCCTCTCCTTCCCTGAGTGACGCGCCGTTCCAGATTGACCCAGAGAGTGGGAAGATCACCATCAAGACAAAAGTCAACAGAGAGGCCTACAGGAAAGATTTTATACAGGTAATGGGTTTTGTATAGGTAATGGGTTTTGCACAGGTAGTTAGGTAGTGTCATGAGGTGTGTGATATATAAGGAATGTGTACAGATGTGTATGGAGAAGAGAATGTGTGTGAGAGAGGGAGAGAGAGAGAGA